CCTTGGTGATGACCAAAGAAGACATGAAAGAGCCATCAGAGTAGAAAATAGAAAATTTGCATGCTGGTATGGGATACATAAGCTGATATTTTTGGTGTAAGATATGCAATCATGTGGCCTAATGCAGGATTGTGATTACGGCGAGTTGAGCGTGGGCGAAAAGAAGTGAGGTTGTGTAGATAAGAAATGATCATTTGGGGTTTATCAAAAACAGTGTCGGACATGATGAAGTAGGTGACTACATACAAGAGATGAGTGATATTTACCATATCTCCAGCTCCAGGAAGAATAGAAGTTCAAAGAACATATTGAATTATACGAACGTTTTTATTTAGGGATTGGACAAGTGGCTGATGTTGGTTTAGAGGATTCCTAATAAATATATTGACAATGGTTCGGTCATACTCCCCTAGATGATAGAATATGGGGTTGAACCCCTTCAGTGGATATGTGGAGGTATTCAGCTAAAGGTTATTTAGTAATTTCTATGAGTCGTCTGCAGAAATATAAAGTCATGGAGGAAAAACCTGCAGATACTTGTAGACTAGCGAAAAATTCATAAAAAAGTTCATAATTGAAAGGGAAGGCTAGGTAAGAAGAAAATGTACAGTGCAAGTGTCACAAAGATCCATTACCCTATAGAGCAGATTGACTAGTCAAGGATTCAGGACTGTGTAATATGGGCTTCCATAAATTTATGATAGGCTGCTTCATTGTCCATTGTTTGGAAACAGTCGTCAGTAGGATGATGAGAACTGCCTTGGAACAATTGACGAGCTCATTTTCCACCGGCCATTAGGAGGATTGAAGGTATGAAGCAAGTTGAGAATAGGAATAGAGAAATAAAGTGAATGAAACTTTAGAAATCCCTCCCTATAGATTTTTAGCAGATCGTACAGTACAATTAAGGTTTGTACATTACGATCAAAAGAATTCAATTCGTTTGGAAGATTTGTCGAAAAAGTGGTCAAATCGTACAGTACAATCAGCATCGTATTGTACAATCTTCGTTAGGAACGATCTTCCCGAGAAGTCGTCGGTACGATGTTTGACTAAAAGGATGGTACAGTACGAATAGGTGTTTGTATAGTACGAAGATGTTTTGACTATCATATTAGGCGATTTAATTCATTCAACTGTTACTAAAACTTGGATCATACAATACAAATAGGTGGATCGTACATTATGATCATCAACAATTGGTAAAATCAAACCCATTGAAATCACATACAGCTTAGAGGCGCTGAGTTGTGTAGACCATACAATACGAATATTGTTCATACAATATAATGTGAACATTTTTTTTAATATGAGGTGTGTGGTGATCAGGGAATATCTACTAACAAGCAAAAAACACTGAATATTTAACAAACATAAAAAAAAACATAAACATGTAAAACACATAAAATCTCAAGTTATTAATTTTATATTGCCCTGAATCAAACATGAATGTCAATGAGACCTATTCTAGTCCTCAATGTGCTAAAGGTATCATAGCTTAAGGGTTTGTTGAAGATGTCTCCCAGTTGATCCTCAGTTGCTACATGATTGAACAAAATTCAATTGTAATCTCACAATCTTCATTAAAAATCTTATCGAACTTTTGTTGAATATCCTCTTCTAATAAAAGCATATATCTTTCATACACATCACTTGAACTAAATCGTTACTTCTCGTATCTTTTTACTTGGCTAACTTATATATACATCTTTCACCCTCCTTAAAATCTAATCTATTATATAAATCATTAAAAGCTAAATTTTTTTAATCACATATTATTTTCTTAAAACTCCTTACAAGCCTCTTTATGCCTTTCCAAATTTTTTGAGCTTTTACCTCTAAACTAATTTTTATAACAAAACTTCTTATCTTTGATCTTTTCTTGTATATCTTGATTTTACAACTAACTATTTTTACTATTAGGAACTTTTTCTTATTGATACTACAAGCATATCCTTTGCAACATTCTTAATATCACCAGCTACCATTTTCCCCGCATAACACTAGCTTCTTCATACACAATCAAAATCCTAAGATCTTGAATTTTACTTTGAAAATTTTTTTGAGCTTTTACTTTCCCATGAATTCAATAGGCAAGAAAATATTCGTTGGCGGGATGATCAATTGTAGGAAAGAAAAATGACGCCCATGAATTCAGCAGTAAATTGATTGGCAAGTTGATGGACAGCTACAAACCACGGATTTAGTTTAAAATACTGATGGAATTCTCTTTTAAATTTAAAATTATTGAATTTATTAGTAGTCCTAAAATTACATAGATTCCTAATATAATCTAAGTCGCTGTGTATAAATATGCCTTGAATGTATGATAAGAACCTAAAGCCTTTAGCCATTCATCTCTTTTTTCCACTTTCCGTCAAATTATAAAAGGAGGTTAAATTAGTAAATGAAATACTAAAAAGAGAATAACTTATGCCTAAAGCTCCCACCAAAGCGGAATTTAAGAAGGGGTTCATGTACATAGTTATAAGGAGATTGATTCTATGACTAATAAGCGGCCTATATATCATAATAAAGGCAACTTGATCATCACTCCAGGCCCACTCTCATGACAACGGACTACTTTTTGCTTAATGAAATTTTCTTTCATCTTAAATTTGAAAACAGTTCATATTTCGTAAGAAGCTTGAAGAAGAGACAATGGAACGACGTTCACCTCACTAATTCTAATCTTATTTATGATTTCATCTACCGCCATAATCACATCTCCATTCCTTTTATTTATCTTTGGTTGTGAATGTGCTATGGATTTAATAAAACAACAACTTGGATTTGCTTATTCCTAGCCTGAATCTTTTAATAATTGTATACCCTCAGGCTTCGTTTTTTTTTTTTTTTTTTTGTTTATCCTCAGGCTTCGTTAATAATGCTATTTTTAATGCCTTGCTCTTTTCAATACATGTTGTATCACACTTTGAATTGTGAAAGAAGCGTGTGATTGAGATTCTATATTACAAGTGCATCTCCTCCATTCCTACCCAACCTTATACAACGTAACTTATAAACGTGTTTATCCTTGTTAGTGAGACTAACAATGATTTCATTTCATGCCGCACAGCACTAAATAGTAGTACCAAAAGCCAAACTTCATGAAACATAACTTATGCTAATTCTCTATTAGTTCTCAATATTATGAAATACTTATTACAGTTAGTCAAATTGTTTCGACCTAACATTTAAGTGCAATTTAATTTGTTTTCCATCACATATAAATTAGTAAACCTCAAGCTTTTCATGGAAGAATGTACAAAGATCAAGTTTCTCTCCCGACATTATAGTTTTAACTTGTGACATTGATCTATTCTGCATCATGTATGTCCCTATATAGTTAAGTTCATGTATGTACGTTATATATATATATATATATGAATGTGAACATGTGCATACTTTTGTGTGTATAACTGTCAGTGAGTCAATGTTAATGACAATTTCATGCCCATGCTGATATGGTAATAAACTATGAAGCAATATCAAAGCACAATTCATTTAACTCAAGTTCAAGTATCAAGGAGTACAATAAAATCATGCAAAATTATACATAAGGGTTAGACTTAATAACCACAGTACTTTATTAACAATAAGAATATGTACATGAGGTATTATCCACTCTGTTTATGAAATCTACAATAAGTGCAAGAAATAATAATCAATGACTCTTAGAAACTAAAACTAGAAATCAACAATATTTTTCTGCAGCAATCATACAACTACTTTTTGTTAAAAATAAATTAGCATGACTATAATGCTTCCACATGGAAATGAAAAATTATAAGCAGGCATAAAAATAGTTATGCCAATGCATTCTTTTGGAAACTCTATGCATATGGAAACTTCTAGAACTACATTTACATGTCAAAATGCCAGTTTATAATTGAAGTCATCATAAAGACAGACTGTTGCTTGTTTAGATTTTTGTTGAATATTCATCTGCAAGAATGTGAAGTTTGTTCATTTGAAATTTATTACAGGTAGCACCTATTTTGATTACTGTAAATAAAGCAGCAAATGATAGGAAAACAGTACCCATGTGCCTATTGCAATTCAAATGCAAACTTGCATGACTCGATAGTGCTATTGTTTGGCAATACGTCAATCAGCTCCGTATGCAAGTGTTCCTAACTCAACAGTGTTTTCATGATAGAGAATTAAATCACTAGTGAATGCAAATATCAAAGCATGAAATCAGAAGTCTGGGTAGACATGTAAGGGTGCTGCATTTTTATAAATTTACAATTACGTATGGATAATCAAAATCCCACAAGGGGTGACGGAGACGGGCTATCAAGAAGGGTTAAATCATGGTGAAGAGAGGTAGAAAAGGAAAATACCTGCTATCTACAACAGCTCTCTGAATCAATCAGATGAAGAAGGAATCACATATCCCATGGCTGGCCAAATTTCACAAGCCATAAAAAAAAATAAAAAAATAAAAAATAAAAAACTATAATCCATCAAATCCGAGCTTTAAATGACAGTGGCTATTTATATTGTTAGGCTTCCATACAAAAAAATACTAACCTTGTGGAACTTTAAGGGCCAAAGGGCTCAAAGGAACACTAATAACATGAAGCCGAAGGGCTCAAAGGAACACTAATAACATGAATAAGATTATGAAGAGATGTGAAGAAAATGATAAACAAATCAATTATGCTTATGAAATTAAAAGATCAAAATGTAGCTAGATGGCCATCATCAGTGGGACTGGGTTGCAGGGTATAAATAGAGGAAGGCTGATGTAAGAGAAACCACATGTACTCATGCACTTTAACATCACCTTCAGTAAAGAGAACGGAGTGCCCAATTTAATCTATAGCAGCAAAATAAAGTTTACATAAACTTAAACTCTATTATGATTTCTATAAATAAAAGCCTTTCAAGCTTAAGCTGCCACTCGGATGAGCCTCTAAAAGAAAAGCTACAATCTAGATCCCAACAGAAAGGATAGCAGAATTATTTGCTCACAAGAATCTTAATCAAACCTTCATCAAGATGAATGGTATAGGTACCCAGGGGCATGTCTCTGTCAAGGCTACGTACAACCTCATCTTCATCTTCCAGCCAGAACGCCCTCCTTGTCCTCAATCCAAAAGCAGCCTTAATAGCCTCCTTTATTGACTCACTAGTGCCATCAATGCCTATCTTTCTACTGTATTCCCCCAATTTAACTAAAATAACTCTTCCAAGATAGGATGAATGATTATCCTCACCTGAATAAACATATAAACAATACACGAGTCAAACAAACCAAAGGATGTATGGAGTGCTTCCGTGCAGTAGCACACTACTATATTGTCTACAAAATAAGATGGAGAAGAATATAAACGCAAAATATACTATTCTTGTAGCAAAGAAAGTTAAAGAATTAACGCACAATTCCTGAAATCAGGAAATGACAACATTTCACATTGAAGCATCCCCACAAAGTTTAAATACTGGTAAAATTTTCATATCGCCAGAAAAGGCCATAAAGAAACACTGGCAGCACTAGTTTCTGAAAAATAAAAATTTCAAGCATGTGAAGAGATCACTACATTACCATTTGCAGAGTTATCTTTCCAACTCCAAGGAGGAATACCATTAGGTGTAACTGCATCTGCTGCTGTAATGGCAAGAGAATCTCTCTCATGATCCAAATGTCTGTCTTGATTGAGTGCTGACCTACCAGTACCTGATTAAAGAATATAAGTCAACAAACTAAAATGAAACTCAGAAAAACATGTTCAAAATATTAAAAGAGCAATACAAATTTTAAGATGGAGATAGATAAGTAATAATAAGAAGGGCAATAAAAGTTTTCAGATGGAGCTTAGCTCAGTAATAATAAGTAGGACAACAAATTTTCAGATGAAGATCATTAAGCATTCCAATGAACTCAATATTACATAAGACATTAATTAGATTCCTCAAAGGTGCTCCAACTGGAACAAAACAAAGTCAGAAAAATGAGGTCTACGTGTTGCTAACACCTCATAATCTCATATTGTTTATGATTCAATAGAAATCACATTTCTTCAAGCCACACATAGACAGCGTCACGTGGATAGTATTGTGGCAATAATAAGCAAACAAATCATTGTGATACCATTGCAAAAACTAATAAAATAATTAATATGATTTAGTATTACCTGCAAAAAGTCGCATAACTTTTATATATCTTGGAATACCATAATTTATATGGATCTAAATTAGCTACCAGAACTAACATCTCCAAAAAAAGGGTAAAGGGAAGATTTACTGTGAAAGGACTATAAAATACCTTCTGTGGGTCCAAACAGAAGATTGACATCTTCAAGACCTGATTAGCAAGAAAAAATTGTTAATAACACACAAAGTTCACAAGTTCTACAGATGAAGTTTGAAACAGAACAGCAAAAACATATATGCCAGTCTGAACAAATCATTGACGCTAATATAGGCATTCCTGAAGGGATATTTTAATTAATAAAAATGCTGTAGAGAAAAAGAATGGATAAAAGTTTCAAGCAACAAACTCCCATGACTATGTTCAAACTTCCAGTTTCTTTATTCCATACATTTCTCAAGAGTTAAGCAGCATTAAACAATCAACCAATTTCTTTTTGTGGTTGACGCTTAAAAGTTGCATAGCAACAACAATTAAGCTGCCAAAAACTACATCATGTTCAAATTCTATAGAATAAACTCCAATAGGAATTTTACACTCTCCCTCTAGGTCTAAAACTCCACCACATCAAGCATGGATGAGGATTTTCTGGTACTTGAAAATACATTAATCAGTTGATTAACTTAACCCATAACTACACCGGCAATTGGAAATGAATAAGATTAAGTACTTTCACTAACTCATCAATCCGTTGCACTGCATCATGCAACCAACTCACTTCATTTCCCTCTTTACATTCTAAAATGCCACCCATATTTTTGAAGTTCTTTACCATTATTTATATTCATACCCTTCATGAGCTATGAATATGCTTCTAAACTTTTTCACATAGTTTTCCATCTTAAAGAATATTAACTGATTCATCGTGATACAATAATGCCCCCTAACATTTATATGCTTTGCCGAAGTACATCCATGGCATCCATGCCACAAACATTGAAGGATCAAAGCTAATGAGTGTAGCTGCTCATCAGATTTGAACAGCCAATTAATGGTTACTATTCAAGCATCTCCTTCAGACCTTATTAATGTCCAAATATGGTGTTCCACATCAGTTCCTCGATTTGTACCAAGTAATCAAGGTTATATTGGGTAAGGTGCCAAATTGCCCCTTTTCTCTTGTTTAAAATAAACCTTTTTTTTTTTTTACTTTGGGCGAGCCTTGTTAATGGCATCAGTAATCTAGCTAGACTGAGTGCCCAGTGCTTCTTGGTAGTGTTATGTAAATCAACTTAAGGTATTGAGGTTTGTTGCTTGCTACAGAAACTTTCTTATATCTTATATTTAGAATGCAGAGTTTATTTATCTAGCTAATTTGTAGGCAAATTTTGCTGAGGAAACATGATTTGAAGCAATATTTTACTAGAGTTAGTATGAATGCTGCTAAAGAAATTACTTTCCAGCATGCAGAGACTCACACTAGCTCAGCCAGCAATGACTCAAGAGGAATCAGCTGCAGTTCATTCAGGTACTCTACTGATGCGCTTTTGCTGCATGTTCACAGGAATCGATACCATACCGAGTTCTTCAATTTTAAAAACTAGGTTGCATAGTTTTAAATTTTGTGAGTTGTTTTTGTTCATTTTAGCCTCGTTTTTACTGCATTTTAAGTGTGCTTTCACTGTACTTTTGCTTCATGATTTCAACTCGTATATCGACTTCTTCAGTTTTCAAAACTAGGTTGCATACCTTTAAAATATATGATTACATTTTTTAATGGCACTTTCAATGCGCATTTGCTACTGCGCTTTCACTGTGTTTTGTTGCACTTTCACTGTGCTTTTTCTACTGCGCTTTGCTATTACTTTGCTTTTACTTTTTAAACACTGATTTTTTTTTTTAATTTTTTTAGATGGGTCCTTATGTTGTACAATTACATTTCATTGTTATGCTTGAACCTTTTGAACTATTTGCGACACATTTGTCGAAGTAATTAACAAAAATGTTGAGGACACAATGAAGAATTTAAACATCTATCAATTGCTGAAGTTCTCACGATTTCAGAAAAATATACCTCTGATATACGAGCTGTTGAAATTAAAGGATATTTCTAAACAAGGCTTCATTATCAAAGGTCATTTATTGAAATTCACATCTGATGAGGTGGCTCTGCTCACAGATTTGCCCAACAAAAGTGTTGAGATCATATGGCAGAGCGAGCCACTTACATTAGTCTTATCAACTGATATTAAAAGTGAAATGATGGAAATAAACGAATCAACTGATCCAGCAGCTATGTTAAAGTCTTTTATAATGTTTGTAGTTTCTAATATATTTTTTTCCCAACAATAACCTAAAAACCCCCAAGAAGGCTCTTGTCTATAGTAAGTAATGTAGATGAGTTCTCATCTATTAATCAGGCCAGAATTATTAGGGAATTTTTGGTCCATGAGTATAATAAAATTGCCACCAAGTTTGCCATGAAGAAGCCACTTAGTTATATAAATGATTTTGTACCTCTCCTATTTGTGAGTGCTAAGATCATTTAAGTCTAATTCTAATTATTAATTCATTTTATAATTCATTAGCTAATATTATTGTATGTGGTCGTATACAGATATGATTCTAGAGCACTTCTCACTAAATGCCCGTAAGTACCCTAATTTAATACCACATTTTCTTAGATGGGGCAATACTGAAGTTTTTTATTCTCTTGAGAAGGCTAACAATTTATTTGTGATGTAGGCAAGGGGGGGTCAAAACAAGTTTGGTTTTAAATTTTGGTGAGCTTCTAAAATCAGCTCATTAATGAGCCTTTTCTACTTGTTTAGCTCAATAAATAGTGGAATAAATTCATTTCCTAGCTCATTAATTCAAAAAGGTATGTTATTATTTCAAGAGTTTATTATGGAGTGGACTTGTGCCTCTTCCCCTCCCTTTGCCTTCTCGGTTTTCCCTTGCTGGCTGGTTTCCCGTGACCTGCCTCTTTGTCTCTTGTGCTGGCTTTTCGGATCCCTTGCTGGCTGGTTTCCCGTGACCTATTGCTTTGTCTCTTGTGCTGGCTTTTCGGGTCCCTTGCTGGCTGATTTCCCCTGGCTTTTTGGGGGGAATTCCGTGGATTTTTTCCCTGTTTTCTGTGCAGATTTCCTGCTGCTGTTTGGCCTTCTATTTGTTGTCTTTTGGCCTTCTATTAACTTGAATTTAATGGGTTTAATGGGAGATATTTGGGCTGTTTGGCTGCCCTTTTTGTGCCTATAAATAGAGATGTTTGTGGCAGTTTTATAAGAGTTTATGGTGATAATTTTTGGATCTAAGCCTACGGGTTTCGTAGATATCTTGTGATCTATGCTATTTCTTCCTCTACTTATCTAGGAAAACTTGCGAGCTTCTCCTCCATTTCTTCTCGGCTTCTAATCTATTTCTTCTATTCGCAAGAGACCACCCCACCTATATCCTTCTTCTCAAAGCAACGGATGGAATGCAATTTTAGGTGTTTAATGTTATGTCAAGTTTGTAAGGTGTTTGTGTCCAAGTTTGTAAGACTCCTTTATATATTATAAAAAGTGTCTCTTTTTGGGTATTTTGTGTATCTTCTTTATCTTAGGAAGATCTTTGTATTTTGCTCGCAAAAATTTGGGGCCCTTCGCAAATTTTTGCTAGCATCAATTTGACTTTTTGCTTGCAAAAATTTGGGGCCCTTCCCAAATTTTTGCTTGCATCAATTTGATATTAGAGCTTGCTCGCAAAAATTTGGGGTCGTTCCCAAATTTTAGCTTGCATCAATTTAGTATTAGAGCTTGCTCGCAAAAATTTGGGTCCCTTTCCAAATTTTTACTCCCATCAATTTGTTATCTTAAATAAAAAAATAGGTACGTATGAAGATTTTTTCTCGAGGTCATTTAAATTAATTCCCCAAAGATTTGAGATTTGCTAACATTAGTATAATTTCTGTGTAGATTTTTGATATCCTTCAGGTTGTAACTCGGGAGAAAGCAGAAATATGAATGATGACAAAATTGGCGTTGAAAATCTCCAAATACAAACTCACACTCAATCCTCTCACCAAATCCCCTCACCAACACCAAAGGAATTTCTCACATGTACCCCTCATTCTCCCCTACAAGACCGCCCACATTCTACCCATAAATTCCCCCCATTTGTACAGAAAGCCCTCCACGGCACCCACATGTGTACATAAAGCCCTCCAACTATGCAGAAAGCCCCCATAACTGCCCCTCCAGCCCTCCCATTTGTACATAAAGACCTCCCACCCCCCAATCTGTATAGAAAGCTCCCCACTAACCTCCTATGCACAATGCTATATAAACCACCCTATACATACCCCCCCCCCCACATATATATATATATATATATATATATATACACCAAGCCGCCTCTTCTGTACAACATGCCCCCAAATATACAATAAAGAAAAAGAAAAAGAGATGAGAAGAAAAGCACTGAAATGATGTGCTTTTTCTACGCGACTTTATTTTACAATGGACATCCTATCCACACAATGGAGAAAAAGGATTCATGTAGCCGACCTCACATAGTGGGATAAAGGTTTGATGTTGTTGTTATTGTTGTTGTGGACGCACAGAGCAACCCATGTAAAATAATATAAAACTTGGAAAACCTTTTTAATAACTTAGGATGAAGTAGAAATTTACTGATAAGTTGAAACCTGCAACAGCTCCAGCAAAATTAACTTCCGATTCCTAAACGTATGCATACTTCCATTCAGCCTTCATGTCCTGTGAGCATGCCATCTCGCCGATAATTTAACGCTCTCCTCAATCTTCAACGGATGTTCGTAGTTTTTTCATTCTCAGCAGGTATCAAAAGTCCTAAATATTTGAATTTGGGAGCTTTCGCGGGTTTTTTCTTAAAATGGAGCGTCAAACCTAAACCTCTCTTCCAAAAAGTAAAAAACTGGGGGTCGGGTCGGGTCAGTCAGGCTGATAAGACATGACTAAAAAATGAAATCTAATTGAATATCTACATGTCCACTCCACGTATCAAGATTTAATTGGAGTCCTCACGTAGAGCTACGTCCAAACTCCGCACAGAATAATTTCTCCTCCCCTTGCCATACACTCTACGCCTTAAAGTGTATGCTATATGTGGATATGCAAATCAAGGAAAGGATGATGATTTACACATATTACAAATTCAATCAGCTTCCGGCATTGAGAAATGAAAACACATATGAGCATCATGTAGTGCATCTACTGCCACCATTCTTTAAACTTTAAAGTCACCACTCAAATAGATCCGCCAGAGGGGCTAGTAGATCACAGATTCACATACTGATCAATATCCCATAGAAATCACCCAGCTAAGCATAATATCAAAAAGCCCTTGACAAAAAATTTGTGCTCCCTTGTAAAACAGATACATGATGCAGCCATCTAACCCTAGACCAAGGGTAGATACGGCGCCATCTTTTACTCAAAAATGAACAAACAATGTACTTGCGGAGTCCTAACTGCAATCAAAATAAAAAAATAACAGCAAGAAAACCATCCAACTCCAGAATTTATTAGTTTCAGACAAGGGTGCATACCTTTCTCCGCGAACTGCATGAAGGAGTCAACCCTCTTTAACGAAACGCAACCCTTGCATGCCAAATTCTTATGACCCCGCTCCTTGAGCAACTCCTCAAGCTCCTTATAACATGCCGTTTTCGCTAACCCACCACCAACACCTCCTCCTGTTCCTCCACTCACTCGACAATGGTGCTTCGCTTTCTTGTACTCCTTCAGCAGGTTCCTCCACTTATCAGTACACATGGTTGGGGATCGCTCGAAGCCTTTCTCCCTCATCTTCGCGGAGATCTGCTCCCATAAGTGCTTGTTGGACTTGGAGGTGTTAAAGAGGCGATCCATCTCGCGGCGGAAGGCGATCAAGCAAAGGGTTTCGTCCTGGACCCAGGTCTCGGCACGCTTCTTGGGGTTAGGGCCATGGGTTCTAACTTCCTGATCGTCGCCGCAGCTGCTCTCACTCATGGCCATTCTCTTCCTCGACTCTTCGAGTTGATCTTCTTCTCTCCTCCGCGAGAAGGGAAAGTCTCCGCCGGCGAGGAGCTGCTCTAGCGTAAGGGGTATAGACATTTCAGAGAAGCAAAACCCATAAGAGAAACAAAACCCATGCTTTTGATTTGTTCTTGGTTTTTTAGCGTGGGAAATGTTGGGGAAGTGGCTTTGTACGTGCGTACCAGGAGGAAATTTGGAAAGCGGGTCTGCGGGTGTGTTCGTGAAGCGCGGAGTGCAACTGAAGATTTCTCCCATCCTCCTAAAACATCTCGCAGTCCAAATTTTTAACTATCAAGATAATGTCAATTCTAACCTAAAGTCTCACAATTAATTTTATCATATAATTCTTTTAGTACAACATTTATTTCAGAATTGTTCAAGGATGAATACGTTTAATTATGAAGTTGTTACTAAAATTATAGTCATTACTTCAAAGATAGTTCGATATTTAAGAATTTAACTTATTTTACTTAAAAGGTTTCACAAATAAGAGCTTAACTCAGATTAAATTTCAAAAGAAGTAAAAAATATAAAATGAAAATAGATTTTCCTAAGAAATTTAAAATAAATTTGATTTTTTTAAGAAAATTTTAAATAACATAAACCTAAAAAATTAACCCAAAACATAAAAAATGTAAAAAAAAAACATTTTTTAAACAATTACGTTATTAAAATTAATTTTAAATATTTATGCTATAATTATATAAATTAATCATTTATTTTTTATTAATTATTTAATAAAATATATTTAACATTAAAATAATGAATAAATTTAAATTTAATTAAATTTACTGTTTATTTTTTATTGATATTTAATTCAATCAAATTTAAACAACAATAAAAAAAATAATTAAAATACTTATTCCTATTGATGTTTATATTTGATTAAATTAAACATCAGTTGAAAAGAAAATTTAAATTTAAGATCAATAAAAAAAACATTAATTTGATTCAATTTAATCATTATTTTTAAATTAAATATAGTTTAAATTATATCTTTCAATAAAGAATTAATAAGAAAATAAAATTTTATTTTAATAAATAAAAATTACTTTAAATAATATAGCATAAATATTTAATAACACAAATATTTTAAACATTTTCTTTTTTTCTTTTTTCTATTTTTGGTTTTTTAATAGGCTTATTTCATTTTAGGTTTTCTTCAGAAAACTAAAAATGATTTTGCGTTTTGTAGAAAATGTAAGTTAATTTTAGGTTTTCTAAGAAAACTTAATTACATTTTGAATTTTTCTCGTTTTTAATTTAATTTATTTGTGCTCTTATTACTTAATTAATAATTATTTATCATCTTTTTAAAAATGTGTCGTTTACCTAATTGGTTAAATGCTTTAGCCACTCAACATAAGTGTGTGGGTATGCTTAGTTTTTCAGATTTTTTTTTCCAAAAAAAGTTTTTTTTTACAAGAGTTTAAAACATTATAGAGAGAGAACTAAGAAAACATTTGGTTCTTTTAAAAGAACTCTATCACTTTGTATTATGGATGTTTATTCTAACATGTCAACATCATAAGAAATTTTTTTTTTTTTTTGGAACGGTGATATTTAGCTGATGTCACCCCCATAGAAGAGGCACTTTGTGGAGTAACTAATCCCTCTGAGAGCCTAGAGCCAACCAGCACCACAGGTGCCAAACCACGCACTTATTTTCCCTACTTAAGAAGTTGCACCGCTTGAGAGAGGAATCAAACATGGGTAGGGGAGCTCCCAAACACGCTCATCCACCAACATAGTTAAGCCCGGTGGGGTATAATAATATATTTAATACATAAAATAGTTTTATATTATATAACAATTAAAATACTATTCTTTTATTTATTCAATCTATTTTTCCCCCTTTTTATATGCCTTGTAAGAGTATTGGCCATGCCAAGGGTTATTGTCGACCCCTTCCTTCCCTTAACCCATGTAATGTTGCTGCCCCTGGTGCCAATCCGGGTAATCTTAATGTTATAGCTAAGAGATAATGTTGTTGAGATGGTTAATACTTTGGATATTAATGCTCATTCTTCCTTAAATGTTCCGCCTGTTATTACTAAGAGGCTTATTGAAGATAATGGTGACGCAAACCTTATGGTTAATGGTGACATTGTTGTTTCTTCAAATAATGATGGGGAGCATGATCTTATTTATGCTCCAATTGGGGTGATTGAGGGTCCTATTGATGCTATACATGAGCTTGTTCTTGCTATGGAGGATTTTCTGCCTTTGATTACTTCTAACGGAGCTAAGGGGGTTTTGGTAGCTAATAATTGTTTAGTTAACATTGCTAATTGTTTATCCCTCTGGTGGAGGTGCCTTTATGCGGCTATGGATGTAGCACTTTGTATTCTCTGGAATCTATTGCTTGTATTGGTTCTATGGATGTTATGGATTCTAATAAACATGTGGGAAGTGAAGAAAATTGTGTTACTTTGGTGAGCTTGACTTGTAACTTGGAGGCGATTGAGAAGATGCAATTTGCTGATGTCTCTATTGAGCTTGTTTCTTCAGATGATATGAAGACAAAGTTGTCTTCTTATATGATTGATAATAGGGTGGATCATTTAGACTGGCTAGATGGATATGGTTTCTCAACTTGCGAGGTTGTTGGAGGCGGTTTGGAGGAGGCTTTGTATGATTTTTAATGAGTTATATGGTTTAAATGTGAGTGACATAATTCATAAAAACTTTTGTAATTTTTGAAGCAAATGTAGAAGAAGTAATTGCTGCAGTTTCTTTATGCTTGGTTTTCTTCTTTATGATTGTTTGGGTTGGCTTTCGTTGGATTGGATTGTGGTGCTGGAGGTTTTATGAACAAGGCAATGATGAGGCAGATTACTTGCCATCTGATCGGATTGGCTTGTCGATAACCATTGGTGGTGTGTTCTTTCTTGGTGGCCTTTGTTTTGGTTGTGAGGCTATGTTTGTCCATCTGGTGACTTTTTCTGTGTGGGCTGCTATTTTTCCCTTCCTATGGATGGTCCCCGCCTTCCTTTTAGATGGCTTTAGTAATCCTTGCCATTATCTAAGTCTGACTGGCTTGTGGCCTTGTGGTTTTGCTTTTGTGAGGTTTTTGTGAGGTTTTCGTGGATGTTTTTATTTTGTTATTAGTTGTTGTTTGCTATATTTGAATGTACTTAGTTAGATCATTAGCTCATATGTTTCTCTTCAATACTATTTTTAATGAGCTTTTGATCTTCTAAGGACCTTTCTATTTTCTTTTTTGGAATGCGTAGATCCTTCTATGAGTTTTCTCAAAAAAAAAAAATGTCACAAAGTAATTTGATTCAATCGTGAACCAAGTTAAATTCAGTTATATAATTGTTCAATCCAGTATCAATTTGTATGTATGTATATAATTTGATTTTAATTTATTTTCGTACTTCAAGATAAAGGTTTCGTTTGGGACGGCTTTCTTAACGCTTCTTAAAACAGCTTTTTAGTATAAAAATTAATTTTTTTGCACTATAAATTTACTTTGAGAAGCAATAAGAAAGCTATCCCAAACTAAGCTAAAATCTTAATCCAACATACATACATAAACTAAAGAGATTGTAATCTTTTTTAACCCTATGATAATCATTTAGGAGGATTAAAACTCGTTATGCTGACAAATGAATTAAATTTCATTGAGTGAAAGGTGGGAGAGGCAACTATGATGAAAGCTCTCAACATCAAATATTCAAAGATAGAGAAGAAAATGGCTAATATTCAGATTGTTTTCAATGATGTGCATGAACCATATTTTGAAAAGGCATTGCTGATAGCGTGATTCCACCAAAGAACTCTACAAACAATATTTCATTTGAAAATGATGAAAGCATGAAATTGGATGTCTTTGATGAAGATCACATTAATGTTGAAAGAATGGCAGGATTTCTTAGAAAAGTGTGGGAACCTAGAGATTTTCTAGTAAGATTTTCGAAGGGTCCGTTTGACTTTTATTTTTTAAAAAGTTTCTATTTTTATTTATGTTCAGAAATAAAATAAAACTTATTTGGTATTCTAAATTCATAATATTTTTGTTTATTTATATGATGGGATTGATAGTGGTAGTCAAGATAGTAATAGTAGTGATTACTAGGGGTGATCTCCGGCAATGATGGTTGTAATAATTGTGGCCACACCGGGTGGTTATAATTGCCTTTTCAAATAGCTTTATTTATAAAAAAATTCAAAATAGTTAAAATATATATTAAATAAATATATTTTCCTAAAAAAAAAACAAAACAAAAAGATAAAATTGATCAAAAATAAATCAAACGTTACCTAATGGGTCAAAATAACATTCAATGTATTTAACACAACAAATATATAGGAGATTAAAAAGATTTTAAATATAATCGAAATGCATTTCTACAAAACCAATTAGAACTACACTTCATTATCCAATTATTTTTCTCTTTTAAATTCATTTCATTTTCCTCGTAACAAAAACTCCCCAATTAATTGTTATTCACTATATGTCCTAAAAACTTTTGAAATCAAACAATAACTCTAAGTATTCTTCATCTATCCAAATAAATTATATTGGATTAAAAAAATTCATCATTTATCCAAATTGTACATCAAAAAATCTCAAGAGTTCAGTGCAAAAAAAACATCAGGCTTGTTCAAGGTAATTTGGCAGAATAAGACGAATAAGGGTAGTGAACTAGCCTGGACCAAGATAAACTTGTCAGGCTCATAATTAACTTGTTAAAGTGTATTTTGTCCAAAGTTTAATCAGGCCAACTCACCGAATCTAAGAAGCTACTTGCCTCATACTATACTTAGCTAGTCAATGACCCAACAGTGAATAATCGCACTCTATCTATTAGTGAATTAAACTATCGTGCTAGTGACTTCAACTAGTAAATATCCATGTGTTAATTATCCACGTGTACTTTTATAATTTTTATTATATGCTTCATGTATTTCGATATTATTTCTTATCCTTATATAGATTTTTCTGTAACACCAAAAACACTGCCGAAAACTATAAGTAGGGAGTATAATAGAGATTTTTGACACATGGAGTCTTGGACATCGAAGCTTGGAGCCTCTAAAACTCTCTCATTTTCTTTGTGCTTTTGTTTTTTGTGCCTTTCTATTGGATGACTATGGCATCAGATGAGGGGGTAAATTGGGGTTTTTAGTAATTTTGATTAAATTAAATAATTAATATAATTTTGATGTTAATTGGTAAAAGGATATACAAACACACAATTTAATGATTTTACAAGTAAATAATAAAGAA